TCCAGATTCATCCATGTTATGAGATGTTTTGCAGATTCATCGTTATTTTTCAGTGTTACATAATATTCCATTGTGTGTATATACTAAAGTTTGTTTATCCATTCTTCCACTGATGAGCATGTAGGCTGTCTCCATCTCTTGCTAGTGTAAATAGTGCTATGATGAACATAGGTGTACATTTATCTACTTGTGTCATGGCTCTTATTTCTTGTTGCTATATACCAAGTAGAGGGATTGCTGGGTCATAATGATATTTCTCTTTTTAATTTTCTGAGGAAGCACCATACCACTTTCCAGAGTGGTGGAGCCATTTACAGTCCCATCAGCAATGTAGGAGGGTCCCAGTCTTTCCATATCCTTCCCAGCATTTGTTGCTTTCTGTTCTTTTGAACTTTGCTACTGATGCTGGGATGAGGTGTTATCTCATTGCTGTTTTGATTTGCATCAGTTCAAACCTACAGGTTGCTCCTTGGAAACTCGATTCAGGGTAGCTATGACTTGTAACTGACTTGACAGCACTTAACAACAACAACAATGGCTAATGATCAGGAGTTTATTCACATGTTTGCCGCCTGAATGTCTCCTTTGGTAAAGTGTCTATGTCCCCCTTTTTAACTTGGTTGTTTGTCTTTTTCTTGTAGTGGTGTTGTAGTTTCTATAAATTTTAGATATTAGTCCCTTGTCTAATACATCATTGAAAAACATTTTTTTCCAAGTCCGTGGCTCTCTTTTTACTCTTTTGGTGAAATCTTTGTATGCAAGTAAGTGTATAATTTTTAGGAGGTTCCTGTCACCTATTTTATGAGTTTCCAGTCTTCTACTGCTTGTGTGTTTTTAGTTTGTTTGACACAGTGTCTATGTCCTGTATTAGAGCCTCTAAGTTTATCTCTCTTCTTTCATTGATGATCTGTTTAGTTCTAGGTTTTAATGCATGTTGAGTTTGTTTTAGTATATGGTGTGAGATATAGGTCTTGTTTCATTTTTCTGCAAATGGATTTTCAGTTTTGCCAGTACCATTTATTGAAGTGACTATCTCTTCCCCCATTTAATGTGTTTTGGTCCTTTGTCAAGATCAGTTGACTGTATGTGGAAGGATTTACTTCTAGATTCTCAATTCTATTCCATTGATCTATGTATCTTTCATTGTACCAGTACCAGATTGTTTTGATCACTGTGGCTGGGTAGTAGATTTTGAGGTCAGGAAGTCAGAGGCCTCCAACTTTGTCCTTCTTCTTAAGTAATGCTTTGCTTTTATCTGAGTTCTCTTTCCTTTCCATATAAAGTTAGTGATCATTTTTTCCATCTCTTTAAAAACTGATGTTGGAATCTGGATTATATCTATAATGTTGACATTTTCACAATGTTAAGTTTTCCTATCCATGTGCATGATATATTCTTCCATTTGTGGTTTCTTGTAGCAGTGTTTTGTAGTTTATAGGTCTTTTGTTTCTCTGGTTAGATTTATTACTAAGTATTTAATCTTTTGATTGTTGTTGTTGTTGTTATGTGCCATGGAGTCGGTTCCGACTCATAGCGACCCTGTACAGGGTTTCCGAGGCTGTAAATCTTTACAGGAGCAGAAAGCCTCATCTTTCTCCTGTGGAACAGCTGGTAGTTTTGAACTACTGACCCTGAGGTTTCACAGCCCGATTCGTAACCACTACGCTACCAGAGCTCCTTTTGCTAGCTATTATAAATAGTATTGTTTACCTGATTTCCTTTACAGAGCTGTCTTTATTAGTTTAGAGGAATCCAACTGATTTTTGTATGTTAATCTTGTACTCTAATACTTTCCTGAATCTTTCAATGAGTTCCAATAGCTTTCTTGCTGAGTCTTTGGGATTCTCTATGCATAGGATATTATCACCTGCAAATAGTTTTACTTCTTTGCCAATTTCGATGCCTTTAATTTTCCTTTCTTGACATAAAGCTAAGACTTCAAAAACAGTATTGAATAGGAGTAGTGATAAATGGCATCCTTGGTTCCTGTTCACAAAGGAAATGCTTTCAGTTTCTCTCCATTGGAAGTCATGTTGACTGTTAGATTTGGATACATCTCCTTAATTTTGCTCATTATTTCCTTGAGTGTTTTCATCAGGAATGGATGTTGGATTTTGTCAAATGCCTTTTCTGCATCAATCAATATTATCATATGATGCTTTTCCTTTGTTATATTTATGTTATAGATTACATTGATTGTCTTTCTAATACTGAACTGTCATTGTATGCCTGATATGAAGCCCACTTGATAATGGTATATTATTTTATATATATAGTTGAATTCTTTTGGTTAAGATTTTGTTTAGAATCTATATTCATAGATTTTTGCATCTATATTCATAATGAATATTGGCCTATAATTTTCTTTTTTAGTGATGTGTTTGCCTGGTTTTGGTATGACGATTATGCTTGCTTCAGAAAATGTATTTGGGAGTTTTCCATTCTTTTCTATGTTCTGGAATAGTTTGAGTAGAATTGATGTCAGCATTTCTCTGAATGTTTGGCAGAATTTACTGGTAAAACCATCTGGTTCTGAACTTTTTGACTTGGTCAATTTCCATTTTTGAAATGGGTCTGTTCAAGTTTTCTACTTCATTCTCTTAGATTCAATATATTGTATTTTTGTGAAAATTTGTCCATTTCTTTCAGATTTTCAAACTTGTTTGAGTACAATTCTTCATAATATTCTGTTATCATCCTTTTTATTTCTGTTGGTTCTGTTGTGATGTCACCCATATTATTTTTCATGCATGTCATTTGCATGAAATGTCATCTTCTTCTTTTCTTTTTTTAGGTTTGCCAAGGTTTGTCAGTTTCATTAATCCTGTCAAAGAACCAACTTCTTGTCTTGTTGATTGTTTCTGCAAAATGAAGTCTTTGACAACTTCAATCTTTTCTCTGTTTATCTTGATGTTGTCTATTGGTCAAGTTGTGAGGATTTTTGTTTTCTTTACACTGAGGTGTAATCCATACTGAAGGCTGTAGTCTTTGATCTTCTTCAGTAAGTGCTCTTCAACAGTAAGTATTTCAAGTCCTTTTTGCTTCCTGAAAGCAAGGTTTTGTCATCTGTGTTTTGCAGATTTCTAATGAGTCTTCCTTCACAATATGACAAACTGACTGGTGGTAGGTCTGTTGTTGTTCAGTGCCATTGAATTGGTTCCAACTCATAGTTACCCTGTATAGGGTTTCTGAGGAGCTGTTGGTGGGTTTGAACTATCTGCACTGCAGTGAGCAGTCCAGTGCTTATCCTAGGTTTGAAGCTTACTAAGACCTAATAGTTTAAAAAGCCCTATGGACAATGCTAAGTCTCAGTTAAAGGTAAAAGCTTAGCATTTTAGAGTTTTTTTTCTATCTTTATCCAAATGAGATTCTTCTCCCAAAATGGCATCCAGTAAATATGGAGCTAGAAGTGGTTTATGTGACCTCAAAGTAGAGGGGAAAAGTTGAAGTCTCTGAGCCTTGAAAACTCTGGTTTCCGGGGTGATGCCCGCTGACTATTTAGTTGCTGCTATCTTGCTGCCATAAACTCATAGTCCATGTTCTTTGCTCTGGCAACTCTGCTAAGAAGTAAAGGCTAATGGCTCTTGCTAGTCCAGCTGTTCTTTAACTTTCAATGGATGCAGACTATATCTTCTGTTCAGTCTGCTAGTCCAATGATCTACCCCACCCTGTGTTCCACCACCATCTCACACTGCCACAACTAGTCCCATGGGAAGCCCACTGGCTCTAGACTCAGCAGATGCTACCACATGAGTAGTAAGAGTTTCTTGGCAAAGCTAAGCCACTGCAATATCTCTGCCTAGTGGTGTTCTTCCTTATCTAATGATCATCTCTCTAAGGGGCAGTTTCTAGAAAAGTTAGATTATACATCTACTTTATTTTCCTGTCTCTCTTTACCTTTCTCTCTCTCCTTCCTACAATCCTCTAGAGCATGGAAAAGGAAGGCTTTCCCCTAAATCACGTCTTCCTGAACTCTTCTTGCCTTTAGGAAAAGAAAATGAAGGGTGTGTGTAGATATGAGTTTTTATATCTATATTTGGTAGATATATCTATTTTGTAGATACCAAAATAGCTCCCATGGCCCTGACCTTTTAAGGTCCTGGTGTAGCTCTATGGGATTAAGCACTGGACCACAAAATCAGTTGTTAATATGCTAAAGAGAAAAAAAATTAAAATAATAATTAGAAAATGTTGTCTCAAAGCAAGAGTGTAGATTTCAAGCTTATAATCATTATGCAAGTTCCACCATTATTGCTACTCATTAAGTGAGTCCAATTCTCCCTCCAGGCACATGGTAGGGTCTCATGGCCCTGACCTTTTGAGGTCCTGGTGTGGCACCGTGGGATTAAGCATTGGACCACAAGATAAGTTTGAACCACAAGATTGGTGGTTCAAACTCATAGAGTTGGTTCCGACCCATAGCGACCCTGTATAGGGTTTTCAAGGAGCGACTGGTGAGCTGGAAATGCCGATCTTGTAGTTCAAACTGATTTTACAGCCCAGCACTTTAACCCACAGCACCACACCAGGACTCCTGATAGGACCCTATAGCCTGCCCTTTAGAAGTTAAGTGTGACCAGGGACTTGCTCTTGCCAATAGCGTTTTAATCCATGTGTGATTTACTGTTCTCTCTTTCTGCCATGGCAATCACAAATGTTCCAGATAGTGGCCGCTTTGTTACTCTGAGCTCCAGAAAGTGGAAGACATGGAACAGAACTCCTAACCAACTTTGATATTTATGCGACATGCAATAAACTTTTGTTGCATTAAATTTCTGCAAACTGAGAGGTTTAGTGACTATGACCCATCCTAACAAAGAAGCTAACATGCATCCTTTCTGTAGCAGATCCTTACTTTCTCCCAAGTAGAGGCATTCCTCAGCCAATTTAGACAAATACCATGTGAGCAGAAGAGAAAAATAGACAAGCACTTTAATAACTTTCCAAATGAATTCCCTTCACAACTATTTCTCACACCCATCTCCCCTTCTGCTTTCCAGATGAAGATCTTTGACAAAAATAAAGATGGTCGGTTGGATCTTAATGACTTGGCAAGGTGAGTAGTCTGGGTAGGGTACATATAGTTTCAGAAATAGGGGTTTGTTGACATCACTTTTGTTTTTGAAGGGCAAAAGTCAAGTCTATCCCGAAGTCATAAAAAATAAATGCATTTTACCCAATGAATTATAGTGACTCAAAATACTTAGGAAATAATAGACCCTTTAGTGAAAATAATGAAAACACTTCCTCCAAGATGCACAACACACAAACTTTTTGTAAAATGATAATGATGAGTCATAGGCAGGTCCTGCCTTCAAAGATCACAAAGGGCATTTATGGTCCCAAATGAGGATCCTATGAAATAAAGAATCCTGAATCCTAGTCACTGACTGCAAGAATGTTGAATAGTTGGTTTAGGGAAAATGCCAACTGAGCCAGACTCCAGCTGCACTCGTTGATCTTTGAGTGCTGATGCATCCTCAGGGGCCACCTAGAGCCCAAAGGCTACAAGTAAAGAGAAAAAGATAAGCTCAGAAGTGGCCCAGTATCTGTGGAAATGTGAAATGCCATTTCCACAAATTCTGGTCCTCTTCTGAATGTATCCTAATAAAACATGCCTGGTAGTTCTGCATGTTTTAACTAGGCCTGCTAAGCTAAAAACAATGCATTGTCCGCTAAAAGAATGAGGAGTAGATTCTTACTAGATGAACAGAGTGATTGCAGAATACACAGATACTCTTATGGAGAACCAACTATAAATGTCGGGTACGTTAAGATTAGACTGAATGGCAACTGTAAACTGGACCATGATTGAAGGCAGGCAGTTGCAGGTGGAAGATCACTAGTGGGCATAGTTGGGAGAAAGGAATTCTAAGAATTGGGGGTGAACTTTCAGTGACAGGGTCTTTATTTGACAATGTCACAAACAGATCAATACTACTTTTGTCTCTTAGAGGAAGTTAACCTGAGCCCAGAACCACTGAATCCTGCACTAGGTGTCTCCTCTACTGACTGCTACTTCTGCTAAGTCCTAAAGAGGACACTCCAGGAAGAATATCTCCTTAGGAGTGACATGATGTATAAACCTTCCACTCTGTGCCTCGTTGGCACTATGAGGTAGCCCATGTGTCTTCCTTGACTATTTTCCTAATTTTAACCCACTTTGATGAAGAAAAGACCAGTTAGAGAGAGCCACATTTCTCTCAAAGGCCTAGGGCAGAGATGGCTCAGCTTGCTATTCTTGATTCTGCTCCCTGGATACCACCCTGGTTCACCTGGCCTACTGGGCAGGGCTCCTCTTAGGTAGAGTTCAGTTCTAGGGTCCCAGAAAGCTGTGTAAGAGAGGCAGTCCTAGAAAGAGAACTTAGAGCACCAAGCAGAGTCTCTAAAGAATTATATATATAAAAAAAGGAAATTTGGGTGAAAAACAGTCTTTAATCTCTTTGCTCCCTTTACTAAAATCACACACCTACTTATTAGTTCACTGGTACAGCCTTGGGCTCCCCCTAGAGGCTGGAGTTTGCAACTCTCAGTAATGAACTAGAGCAACGCTCTCTCTTGTGAAAAAACGGGTTATTTTTTCATAACACTGTCTGGCTCCTAAAACATAGTTCATAGACAACATAACCTTCTGTATTAGTTCCTGTGATTGCTATAACACATTAACACAAATTTGGTGGACTGAAACAACAGAAATGTATTCGCTCACAGTTCTGGAGGCCACAAATTAAAAACCAGTACCAATGAGCCCAAGCTAAGGTGTCAGCAAAGCAGTGTTCCCTCTGGAGACTTTAGGGGATAGTCTATTCTTTTCCTCTTCCAGTTTCTGGGGGCTGGCAGCATTCCTTGGCTTGTGGCCACATCACTTCCATCAGGTCATGTCTTCTCTGTATGCCATGTCTCCCGCTGCCTCTCCCTTATGAGGAGACAGGTGATTACATTTAGGTCCCACTCGGATAATCCAGGATAATCTCCTCATTTTAATATCTGAGACTTAACCCTTCTGTGACCCATGGGACACTTAAAAGGTGGGTTTCAAAAGTTCATAGAAAAATTCCATTATCTTTTAATTCAATTTTCCTATGAACATTGTGAAGTTCCCTTGTAATGCCTACCACATTTTTCAGCCTCTCAGGTTTCTTGGGATGCTGCTATCCCAGTTGTAGTACATGCTACTGTCTGACAGGACTTGTATAACTGCATTCATTTGAAGAAACAGGCCTCACCCCACCAATCCTACCACTGAAATCCACCTAGGACATATGTGCTCCACATGATTATACCCAAATCCATATTACCTCAAGATGTTTCCTTGATTTCTGCATGTCTTCTATTACTGAAAAGACATAGTGTCAACAAAAAATTCACAGCCCCAAATAATTTGGTAATTAAAGAATTAATTGTATCAATCTGCAAACAGTCTTTTCCCAAGCAAAGTAATGCAGGTTTAAGGGATCAGGACCTGGTATCTAAATAGAGGTGGGGGTGGGAGAAGCAGGTATTTTTCAGTTTACCACACCTTGCTACATACATAATTGTAAAATAATTAACATAATGTCCAAACAATAAAATTAAGAAAAAAAAATGAAAGGAGAGTAAGTAATAATAAAATAATGTATATTTCAGTGTGTAAGTGCTTGATGAAGTTCTGGTGTGGTGCTGTGTGTTAATGCACTGGACCGTGAAGCCAACGTGAACTGCAAAGTTGGCAGTTCAAGCTCACCAGTTGCTCCTCAAAAGTCCTATACAGGGTCTTTATGGGTCAAAACCGACTTGACAGTACTTAACAACAAAAAATAGTGCTAGGTACAACCACAGTTGTACTTTGGTGTAGAGTTACTATGGATATAATAGTTCAGATACCAACTAATACAAGCATGGCCTTTTGAAAACTTATGTACCAAGAGTTCAGTTGCTATTGATAGGATTTTATAAAGTAATTTAAAAAATCTTAGATGAATTTAAGTATATGAATGAAATTAAGTATAATTCACCCTCAATTTATATAATTCAGTACATTATACAGAAAAAATGTATATAATTAGTGCTGTTGAATCAGTTACGACCCATAGCGACCCTGTATAGGGTTTCCGAGGAGCAACTGGTGAGCTTGAACTGCTAACCTTGCAGTTCAAACTGCTTTGCAGTCTGGTGCATTAACCCACAGTGCGACACCAGGACTCCATATAATTAGTATACCCAGTTTAAAAAAACAACAACAAAAAACCTTGGATTTTTGTGTAGGAAGTCAGTTCTAAACTCAAATAATTATAAACAGGTTTTTTAATATTCATGAATGTCCAGGTGGATATTTAAAAGTCAGGTGAGACAACGGAAAATTTTTCATGCTGTGGGACTTTCCATGCAATGTAAAACATCTAATATCCCTGAACCCCAAATACAAAGTGCCAATAGGGCCTCTTCGCACTATCATAACCAAAAAGACCCCCTAGAGGCAGTTCTGACCTGGTGGTATCAATGGTTAACATGCTTACCTACTAACCAAAAGGTGTCCTCCCAAAGGCTTCTGGGAATAAACATCTAGTGATATATTTCTGAAAAATCAACGATTGAAAATGTTATGGAGCAGAGTTTTACTCTTACACACACGGGGTCTCTGTTAGTTTGCATGGACTCACTAGCAACTGGTTATGGTTTAAAAATCTACAGGGTAGGGGCTATGCCTTAATCTCCTGAATAGCTTCTCAACTAGTGGAATAGCATGTACATAAACCAAAATGGAACCTACTGCCATTAAGTGGATTCCTACTGATAGAGACCCTGAATAGAGTTTCCATGACTATAAATCTTTACAGGAACAGAAAGCTTCATCTTTCCCTCAGGGAATGCCTGGTGGGTTTAAACTGCTGACCTTGTAATTAGCAGTCCAGCCCTTATTCTACAGTGCCACCCAGGCTCCTTGCACATGTTGTTAAGTGCTGTTGAGTCTATTCTGACTCATAGTGACCCTGTATAGGGTTTCTAAGGAGCAGCTGGTGTGTTTGGACTGCTGGCCTTGCAGTTAGAAGCCCAGTTTTTATCCAACAGTGCTATATCAAGGCTCCTTTTGTACATGGTGATGGTGGTTATATTCTGAGGAGTCGGTTCTGACTCATAGCGACCCTGTATAGGTTTTCTGAGGTTATAAATCTTTACAGGAGCAGAAAGTCTCATCTTTGTCCCATGGAGGAACAGCTGGTAGTTTTGAACTGCTGACTGTGAGATTAGCAGCATGATGCATAACCACTATGCCACCAGAACTCTTTTTTGGGCTACTGACCCTGTGTTCAACCCCACTGTTTGGCCTGGGCACACCTACCAATGCCACCACTGTAACGTCGGAATGGTATACATGGTTTCTGCACAGTGACACCTTTAAGATACTTGGTGGCTTTCTATATATGCACACCCTCGATGGCCTGGGCAGTCTCATGGTGTTCTTAAAATGGACCTGGAGATTTGAACCTCTGGATTTGCATTATTTTGTGGGGTTTTCTAGGTCAAGTGAGTAGTGAACCATTTTGTGAGATTACCTCAAGCTGCTTATGGGAAGAGCCAGGGCTCCTTTTGTACACAGGAAGATTCAATAATCCTTGTGGACACAAGAAATTCGAGTACCAATGAACAGAGATGCAAATGATTTCAAAATTGATTTTATATGCAATTTAAAAATGACAAAAATGGTAAGAAGAAGAAAGACGTTCATATTCTAATCAGTGAAATCAGTGTATATTTTATGTAACATGCAAGGGTGAATTAAGGTTACTTATCAACAGACCTTGGTGTCCTGGTGTGGTGCTGCAGGTTAATGCACCAGACTGCAAAGGCATTTGAACTGCATGGTCGATGGTTCAAGCTCACCAGCTGTTCCTCAGAAACCCTATACAGGGTCACTATGGATCAGAATCAACTCAACTGCACTTAACAACAACATCAAGAGACTTTCAGATAGAGATTATTTTGGATTACCTGGGTGAGGCCAATGTAATAACAAATGTCTTTTAAATGTGGAAGAGGAAAGCAGACAGTCAACCCAGCAGCCTCGTTGCTGGTTTTGAAGATGCCTTTTATCAGGTTGAAGATATTCACTTCTTTTCCTAATGTGTTAAAATTTTGTACCAAGAATGGATGTTGGATTTTTAAAATGTTTCCTCCATCTATTGAAATGATTGTATGGTGTTTTTTCCTCCTTTTATTCTATTGTGGTGTATTACATTGATTGTTTTAGGTCAAACCAACTTTGTATTCCTGAAATAAATACCACTTGGTCATGGTACATAATCTTTTTTATATGATGCTGGCTAGTATTTTGTATATGATTCAATTGGTTAGTATTTTGTTGAGAAGTTTTGCATATAGTATCTATAAATAGGAGCCTTGGTGGCATATAGTATTTATAAATAGGAGCCTTGGTGGCACAGTGGTTAAGTCAATACGCTGTGAACTAAAAGGCTGGAGGTTTGAGCCCATCAGCTACTCTGGGAGAAAGCTATGGTAGTCTGCTTCAATAAAGATTTTGACCTTGGAAACCCTATGGTGCAGTTCCACTCTGCTCTATGGATTGACTCAACAGTAGTGGGCTGTGGTATTATTTATAAATGATATAGGTCTGTAATTTTCTTTACCATGTTTTAGTATCAATTAAATACTGACCTCATAGAATGAAGCATTTTTGTCTCTATTTTTTTGGAAGAGCGTTAGGACTGGTGTTATTTCTTTAAACATTTGTTAGAATTCACTTGTGAACCTGTAACGTGGTGCTGGACTTTTTGTGAGATATTTGATTACTAACTCTTTATCTTTACTTGTAATCAATGTGTTCAAATTATTTATTTCTTCTTGAAACAACTTCAGTAGTTTGTCTTTCAAGGAATGTGTCTATATTAATCTAGGTTGTTGATGGTGGTGTGCCGTGGAGTCGGTTCCCACTCATTTTGCTGTTGTTGTTGTTAGGTGCAATTGAGTCGGTACCAACTCATAGCGACCCTATGTACAGTTATCTAATGATTATTCATAGTATTCTCTTATAATCCCTCTTATTTCTGTAAGATCAGTAATGATGTTTTTGTTTTTATGATTTTAGTAAATTGAGCCTTCTCTCTTTTCGTGTCTAACTAAAGTTTTGTCAATTGCATTGATCTTTCCAAGGAATCAAACTTTCATTTTCTTGATGTTGTCTATTATTTTCCTGTTATCTATTCAAATGATTTCTTCTTAGTCTATTATTTTCTTGCTTGCTTTTGAGTAATTTTCTCTTCTTTTTCTGATTTCTGAAGGTAGAAGCTTATCAATTTGAGATCTTTCATCTTCTTTAATATATTAATTTACAGCTATAAATTTCCTTGAAGCACTACTTTTGCCACATCACAAATGTTTTGATATTTGCATTCTTGTTTTTATTCATCTGAATATATTTTCTAATTTTCTTAGAAAATTAAAATAATTTTATGAAAAATTACAATTTTTTTAAAACTAGAGACTGGTAAGGTGCTTAAAACTCAAGAGATTAAGAGTTATTGACTCAGAGTTTATAAAAGTTTATAAAAATTGTCCAAGAGCCTAAGATATTTGTAATTGTATAACTCAAGTTTACATTGCTGGGTTGACAATTGTTTACTCCATTTCTTACTTAAAAGCATGGTTTTTAATTTCTAGATATTTATAAGTTTCTCAAAATTCCTTTTGTTGCATTAATATCTAACTGTATTTTATTGTGGTCACAAAAAATACTTTGTATGATCCAACCCTTTTAATTTTGTTGAGAATTCTTTTATGGCTGAACATATGATTTATCTTGCAAAAAGTTTCATGTGTGGAACATTGAGAAGAATGTGCATTCTGCTGTTGTTGAGTGATAGATAGGTTCTACAGATGCTTGTTAAGTTTAATTGATTTATTGTTCAACTCTTCTATTTTCTTGTTGATCTTCTGATTGACTATTGATGTACCCCACAGTTACTGTTGAATTTTCTACTTTTTCCTTCAATTCTGTCTAAGCATGTGCATAGCCCTGGGCATGGTCACCGCCCTATACATATGCTGTTGTTGTTGTTGTTAAGTGCCATCGAGTCAGGTCCGACCCATAGCGACCCTGTACAGGGTTTCCGAGGGTGTAAATCTTTACGGGAGTAGAAAGCCTCATCTTTCTCCCATGGAGCGGCTGATAGTTTCGAACCACTGACCTTAAGGTTCGCAGCCCGATTTGTAACCACTACGCTATCAGAGCTCCTTTGGCCTTTTAAATTCCCAGAAATGGAGTGGAAGCTTATCAAATCCTCTGTGCACATCATATTCTGCAGCTTTTATGTTTAAGATTTTAAGTTAATCTATCGTTAGTCTATAATCCATAACGGCCCTGTATAGGGTTTCCTAGGAGTGGCTGGTGGGTTGGAACCACTCAATGGCACTTAACAACAACAATTGTTAGTCTGGAGTCCTGGTGTGGCACTATGGGACAAGTACTGGATTGCTAATCACAAGATAGGCAGTTCAAACCCACTAACCTCTCCTTGGAAACCCTATGCAGGGTTGCTATGAGCCGGAACCAACTTGATGACACTTAATGATAACAAACAAGCTAACCTCAAGGTCAGTGGCTCAAATCCACCAGCTGCTCCTTGGAAACCCTATAAAGGGTAGCCATGAGTCAGAACCAACTGGATGGCACTTAACATCAACAATATTGTTAGTCTCAATTCTTACCTCTTCAGTCAGTTGAAAGATTAAACAATTGCAAGTTTTTGACAAATATCCTTGGGGAAAAGGCTTTTCACATTGGGCAAGCTCAGAATTAGGCCAAATCAAGACAAATCTGTCTTCCCAGGCAACTATCAGTTAAGTTCAATAATGGGACATTTCTCAGAATTAGCCTTTTGAAGAAGGTCAAACCCTGATCAGTCTTTCTTAGTGGTTGCTAAGATACTAGTTCTCCTGTGATTGTAACCTATTGGTTTCCATGATGACCATGGAGCCGAGGAGGGAAAGATGGGAGTCAGGTAAGCTAAAATGCCACCAAAATTGCTCTTTTTATCCAGCTTCAGTCATTTTTTCCCCTGAATGAATTCTTCCCAGATTGCTGTAAACTTTTGGTTAATTTTCAGAGTTCTAAAAACGTTGATTCTGCCTAGTCCTTACCCCACCCCACCCCCTTTTTTTGCTGTTGCTTTTATGGGCGAGAGAATTTCATTTTTCAAGTTTCATTAAGATGAATGTTTAAAAGTCACTCACAGGAGTTCTGGTATGGTGCTGTAGGATAAGCAGTGTACCACAAGGTTGGTTTGAATCCCCAAAGTTCAAACCCACCAACGTCTCCTCAGAAAGCCCATACAGGGTCACTATGAGTCAAAACTGACTCAACGGCACTTAACAACAATAACATGGACCACCAATCCCTGTGAGAGTCCCAATTAATTTCTTTCTTTTTATAATATCTACATTCCTATTTTTAAGCAGCTATTTTATTGTGCAATGTCATCTGGAAACTGCCTACCCTTTCCTTACATGTATGAATTTGCCTGTAACTGAGACCTGATAGTCCTTTGCCCTTCTTTCTTTTATTTCAATTAGGATTCTGGCTCTTCAGGAAAACTTCCTTCTCCAATTTAAAATGGATGTAAGTACTGAAATTTCTCTAGATGGGTTTCTGTCATCTTTGTTTCTCTAAAGAATTATAAGGGAGCGAGTGGAAGGCTTTCACATTTCTAGAGACTGACAAGGCTCTGAGTGGATTTAGGGGATTAAAGGCTGTTGACACAAAGTTTAAAACACTTGCCACAAGAGCTGGAGGTTGTACAACTGAACTTCACAATGCTGGATTAACACAATGCTTTCTCTATGCCCAGGCATGTTCCACTGAAGAAAGAAAAAGGGATTTTGAGAAAATCTTTGCCCACTATGATGTTGTAAGTGTGTCTTTAAAGTGTGCTGGTCATCTTTAGGCAGAAAGCTTGTGTAGTCCTGGTGTATGAAGTCATCCTACTCTAAAGTTATGATAGTGATTCCACATGTATGTTGGTACATCAAGGTACCCTCACTCTGTATAAATTTTAAGAACTAAGTATAAATAACCAAAGAAGTATTTATGATTGAGAAGAGAATGAAATTACAATGTTTGCTTTTGCTTCTTAGTTCCAAACTTTTTCCTTCTTAACCTACATCTAAAATGGTAGGCTTAAAAACAAAAGAATAAACAAAACAATAACAACAAAATACATCACATCCAAAGATATGATGAAAAGTCAGTCCTATTTACCATAGAATCATTTCTAACATGGGACTCATTATTTGGTTTTACTTTTGAGGAGGAAAAAAAATAATAATTCTAAAGCACACAGTATGGCATAAGGATTGTATTTCTTGAAGATAAGGTAGGAAAATACAAGAAGAAAGAAAAGAGGAAGTTGGGAAAGATCATATGAGATCAAATCAGACAAAGCAAAAAGAGCTCAGTCTAGGAAGGCAGCAGAGTGTAGTGGCTAAACACGCGGTCAATTACCTGTGTTTGAATCCCAGATTATTAGTCATGTGACCTTGGACAGGTACCTAAACCTCTCTGTGCCTCAGTTTTCTGATATGTAAAGCTGGGGTGATGAGTATTACATCTACTCCTTACTTATTAACTGTCTCATCATTTGACATTTCCCATTTATGATAATAATGAAAAACTCTACTATCTGACTAATTTAGGCATTAACAACATACATCTGACAGTGTGAGACGATGGTAGTTCTGGCTGTGATGGTTAAGGTTATGTGTCAGTGTGGCTGGGACATAACATTCAGTGGCTTGGCAGTTATGTAATGATGTTGTTTGGAAGCTATGTGAGGATGCAGTCATTCTCTATTTGTGATTTGATGTGACCTCATTCTGCAGTTTCACATTTCATAAATCCTCCAAATCACCATTTTCACATAATGACCTGTTCTTTGGAACCTAACCCTGTTGAACAGTGAGGAGTAGTTGTAATACTTAGTCATGGAGCTGTTTTGAGAAATGCATGAATTCATATTTGGAAAGCTCTTAGCACAGGGTCTAGTATATAGTAAGTACTAAATAAAGGTTGGTACATAGACTAAGAAAACAGAATTTTTGAAATCAAATGTTAATGATTCAGAATTAATGAAACGTATAGACTGGATGAGTCATCATAACTTAAACTTTAGGGAAGAAAATTATTTTATTATGCACTGTACTTTATGTTGTTGTTGTTGTTAAGTACCATGGAGTCGGTTCTGATTCATAGTGACCCTGCACAGGGTTTCCAAGGCTGCAAATCTTTATGGGAGCAGAAAGCCTCATCTTTCTCCTGAAGAACAGCTGGTAGTTTCAAACTGCCGACCTTGAAGTAAGCAGCCCGATTCATAACCACTAAGCTACCAGAGCCCCGTACTGTACTTTATAGACATCCTTATTTTTGTGTGCTAAAAACTGGGTAGAGAAACAAGTGTTTTATGTTCAGACCAAAGAATAACTCTAATATGCTCAATCTATTCTCTCCTCCTGATTTAAATTGTATACTTTTATAATCATCAACTCACTGCTAACTCACAAAGGAAAATTGAAAAAATGACAATTTATCCTTAAAAGGATCAATATGATGTGAAGTGAACATTTTGCTGAACCAAAGCCCAGTACCTGGAAACTAAATAACATCAGTATATGGCATACAAATGTGATTCATAAGAGCCAATGAACTTGGACTACTGCTTTCCATGTGGTTACATGAAGGAAATTATATATAATTAATTCATTAATTCCTGTGGAAAATTCACATTCTATAGAAAGAACATAGATAGGAACATGCCATTTCTGAATCAGTTTGCACTTAGAAAAGAATACTGATTTGGTCCATTTGCCTAATGTATTCTTGAGCTTTTTGATTTAAGAAAGTGATATTTGCATGATTGGATCTTTTATCTTTCAGAGTAAAACTGGAGCCCTAGAAGGCCCAGAGGTGGACGGGTTTGTCAAAGACATGATGGAACTTGTCAAGGTGATTTCATGAGTCTGTGTAGATGATTCGCATCATGAAGTGAGATTGCTATTTAGACTGATTTCTTTGTTGATTTTTTAGAATCAGTGGTGCAGAAGGTTAATGCCAGAGAGAAAACCTGGAGACAGGGTCTATTTAACAACCTTTGAGCTTTCATGAAACCCAATCAATCTTCTTTTCTCTTAAAAAATTACTTGTAGAATCCTGGTGTGGTGCTGCAGGATAAGTACTGGACTGCTAACTGAAAGGTGGTGGTCCAAATCCTCCAGTCACTCCTTGGAAACCTCACACAGGGTCTCGATGAGTTGGAACGGACTCCACGGCACTTAACAACAACAGTATAGCTTACATGACTCTCACCATAACAGTGTACTCTTCCTTCTTTTTTTAATCGTCTGTGTAAACTGTTCTCCTAGCTGACTGATTACACAAAACCCTTTTCCCCCTTGACTTGATTATTAGAATAGTTAAGACTTTTGAATTCATTTTCATGGAATACATTCAAGATTTTGGATTGCAATTTTTTATTGTGGACCTTCACTAACATATACGTTAGGATGACCTCCTGGTTTTCAAGATGTTGTCATGGTTAGGGCTGAAACAATTTAAATTACAGAGCTGTCCTTAGTAGTTAAATCCAAACCAAGCCTGCTGCCATTGAGTTGATTCCTACTCATGATAACCCTATGTGTTACTGAGGAAAACTGCTCCATAAGGTTTTCTTGGCTATAATCATTACAGACGCAGATCACCAAGCCTTTCTTCCATGGTACTGCTTGGTGGGTTTGACTCACCAAACCTTATGGTTAGTTGTTGTTGTCGAGTCGATTCAAATTCATAGTGACCCTGTATAGGGTTTCTGAGGAGCAGCCGGTGATTTGCGCCCCCACCTTTGCAGTTCAAACTCACCATGAGGTCAAGCGCTTAATCTACGGTACTACACCAAGAGTCCTTATGGTTAGGAGATGTGTATAAACCATTTGCAGCACCCAGGTGTAGATAGCATTCTAAGTAGAAATCCTTTGGGAGCCTGGTGAACTGTATTGCAAATAATTTCCAATTCCTCTTTTACTATGGGGCTGAGTAGACACTGAATTTAAGAGTCTCATATCCTTAGGGACGTTTGAGGTTTGTGTGGGACACAAATAATATGTCCTAATTGGCCCACATGTCAGGAAACAAGATAATAATCCACAGGACTCCTTTCAATAGCTGATTAAAATTTTGGAGGCTTGCAGCAGAAAAAGGCCCAGACATTAATTCTGGCATAAGTCTCCTGGGAGTTTATAAGCTGCTATTGAGCAGGTATGTATGAGAATCTTTCTGGATTCTAATCAGGACACCTGCAATGTCTTCCTAGACTCCTAACTTTTGTCATTCCCATGCAAACAGGCCCCTGTCCTCTCCTTTCCCCATCCACACATTGCGTGTATTGGCGTTTTCACCGGCATTTGCACAGCCAGCATGATTGATGACTGTTGATGTGTTCTTGCCTCTTACATCGATTGCTAAAATAAAATCCCATTTTACTCATTATCTATTTAATGCCAGAATAACTTCTGTAATAAAAACTGAGCAATTATCTATGGGACATTAAAGTTGCCCAGCTGAAGGCCTTGCCAAAGTGGAGTTCTCATTTCTTTTTACTAGAATGAATGGTGTCTTAGTTCCCTAGAGCTGCTGTGACAGAAATTCTACAAGCGGGTGGCTTTAAAGAACAGAAATTTGGTTTTCTCTGAGCTCAGGAGGCCAGAAGTCTGAATTCAGCACGTGGCTGAACCTTCTATTTCAGCTTCCGGTAGCCTGCAAGCCTTGGGTTTGTAAAATCATCTGCCTGTGTAGTCTTCCCCCATATGAGTTTGCTTATCTCTGTGTCTCTGTTGCTCTTTATATAACTCAGAATGGAGTCCTGGTGTGGCACTGTGGGTTAATGCATTAGACTGCAAGGTTGGTTTGAACCACAAGGTTGGAGGTTCAAGCATAGCAGTCACTCCTTGGAAACCCTATACAGGGTCACCATGAGTCAACAACAACATGTATCTTAGAGGTGGACAGGTTTAGGGCATGTCCTAATTAGCATAATAAAGAAAAGTTTATTCTCAAATTGAATTACACCCACAGGCATGGGGGTTAGAATTCCAACTCACATATTTTGGGGAAATAATTCAACCCATAACATTCTATCCTTTGAAAGGCCCTTCAAATTCATATTGTTCCCACATGCAAAACACTGTCACCTTATCACATATACGATGGCTTCTTGAATGTAGAGCCTGGTGCTTCAGAACCTTACTGAGTCCCAGCCCGATGGCCTGGCTTTCTGTCTTACTCCACAAGACCCTTTTCTTTAAAGTCTGCACACACAACAGAACAGCCCAGCAGAAACAAGCAATCAATCATCAAACAAATGCATAGCCTGCCTTCTTTTGCTATCCTCTTAGGAGTCCTTCAACAGTGCAATGGTTAAAGGCTCTAGCTGGAAAAGTAGGAGGTTTGAGTCCAACCAGAGGTACCAAGGAAAAAAGGCCTGGTAATTTGCTTCTGAAAAAATCTGCCATTGAAACTCCTGTGAAGCATACTGTGATGCACATGGGCTCACCATGAGTCAGAATTGACTCACTGACAACTTTTCTTGTTTTTCTTCAATTTTCTCCCAAAGTTGTGGGAAACAAATTTTTCCTGAGTCTGTAGTTTCATTTGTTATTGTAGAGCTTGCCTGGCATCCCACATCTTTGTAAGGCTATGGGACATATTTGGATAGGCCTGGAGGATTAGCTGTGCTTGAAATAGAAGCTATCAGGGCACAGAATTGGCGACAGTGGTTTCTAGAAATGTTGCCATGATGGTGATAGGTACTGCTCCTCTCCTCTTTTGAACACTAATTTTTGTTTTCTTTCTCTTTTGAAAAAAAAAAAAAATGAGAGAGAGAGATTGGAAGCATTTTTCAAATGAGAAAGCACTGGGTGTTGGGCAGTGTTTTGGAGTCTGAGCTTTACAGATCTGAACTTTAATCTCAGTTCAGTCATTTACAAACTGTGTATCAGAGGGCAAATTACTTCATGTCTCTGTTATCTGTCACCTTATCCATAAACTGGGTACAATAATGGCTGCTTTCCAAGATTGTTTGATGACTAGAAATAGCACAGATTGTGTGTGTGTGTGTGTGTGTGTGTGTGTGTGTGTAGCTCAGTCCCTGGGGGATAGTATGAGTTCCCAAAATGATCATCTTTATTCTTTTATTAGAACAAAGGTACTGTAATCTTTAGAATATGTTTCTGAGCATAAGAATAATTAGCTCTTGAGAGGATATTTCATAAATCAGCAGCTTGAGCAATTTTAGTGGATAATTACGTCTGAAATAATAGTGTAAACGAAACCAGTGCAACAGAGAATTTCAACGAGATAGGCTTACTCGTTAACAAAATATAGGCAACAATTTGGCAGAGATTAACCTACAAAGGCAATGTTTAATCCAGTGAAATAAATTTCAAACTAAAGCATATCAGGCAGTGTGGTAGTTGGCACTGGAAAGACAGTTTGAAGACTGAAGTGGTTCTACATGGAACTGTCAACTTATAACACAATCACCTATGGTGTGGTCCCCATTCTCTAGAAGAACCCCCAGTGGCTGATCACTGTTTCTCTTTGCCTAGCAAAATCCTAAAAGAACGCCAACGTGATCCTTCATTTTAATTTAAAAATATTCAACGGTAGGTGATAACAGGAGTAAATCTGATTTATTTTCATTATTTCTTCCATGCAAGGATAGATGAGTGAACTTGCTGACAGGCAGTCAGTCAATGTCTCAAACACTAATGTCTTGGCCTCTGCTTGTCACCTTGGTGTGTTCAGACACTGATGGGGCTAATATATATCAGAGTGGAGATACAGGACATGCTGTAATTTTGTACCATAGAGAATGCAGATCTCTCTAGTGGTCAGAGAATCTTTGAGATGTGCACAGTTTCAGAGTTGTAATGGTGGCCCCAGAGTAGAGATTTAGGAAGTGCTATTTAGGAAGAGATCATCTGAAGAACAGATTTGATATATTAATCACTAAAGACTGAAGACCAGAAGAGTTGTGGGATGACATAAAGAACAGCATACATGAAGAAAGCAAAAACTCATTAAGAAGACAAGAAAGAAGGAAAAGATCAAAATAGATGTCAGAAGAGACACTGAAACTTGCTCTCCAGTGTAGATATGGCAAAGCAAATAGGAGAAATGAGGAGGTACAAGAGCTAAACAGAAAATTTCAAAGGTCAGCTCGAGAAGACAAAGTCAAATGTTACAACAAAATGTGCCAAGATCTGGAGTCAGAAAACCAAAAGGGAAGAATACACTCAGCATTTCTCAAGCTGGGAGAACTAAAGAAAAAATTCAAGTCTCGACTTTCATTATTGAAGGATTCTCTGGGCAAATTACTGAATGATGCAGAAAGCATCAAAAGAAGATGGAAGGAATACAGAGTCACCGTACCAAAAGGAAATGGTTGATGTTCAACCATTTCAAGAGCCAATGATTTTGAAGGAAGAAGTCCAAGGTGCATTGAAGGAATTGGCAAAGAACAAGGCACCAGGAATTGATAGAATAAAAAATGAAATCTTTCAAGAAAATAAGGCGGCACAGGAGGCACTCACTCATCTCTGCCAAGAAATTTGGAAGACAACTATCTGGCCAACTGATTGGAAGGGATCCATATTTGTCCACATTCCAAAGAGAGGTGGCCCAATGAAATGCGGAAATCATCAAACAGTATCTTTGGTATTCCATGCGGGTAAAGTTTTACTAAAGGTAAAACAGAAATGGCTGCAAGCATACATTGACAGAGAACTTCCAGAGGTTAAAGCTGGATTCAGAAGAGGCCGTGGAATGAGGGATATCATTGCTGAT